AGAAAATAATACAGAAAAGTGGGATAAGATCCTAAAAACTATAAGATATCATCAATACGAGCAATAATAATACTTGATTTGGTTACAAGAAAATATTGAACTAAGATTCCCAGGATTAGCTCTAAGAACCTACGATCAAAACGGAAGAATTATAAGATATAACCATGAACAACCTAACAACTAAAAGATACATGATAGATTTTGCAAATATAGATAGTAAGGGCAAAATAGTATTTTTAACAATAGATGTCATTTTACCAAAAATTATTGTTGACTAGGCTTTTTAAGCAAATCTCCCTTTTTCTAAAATCAAAATTTAATTAAGGGATAATTGCTACAAAAGCCCCATACATTTGAAATATTAACAGACTTTTTCCAAACTTTTGATTTATTGTAACCGTCACTCATAACCTTTCCAAATATTGCAGGTGCAACTCTTTTGAATAGTTTCCATCCAAAATTCTGTTAAATGACTAAAAAATTAACTTTGTCTTTCACCACATTTTTAATATTTTAATTAAAGAAGGCAAAAGAGTAACTTTCAATTTATCACATAAAATAATTAAATAAAAAAAAGAAATAATAATAATAATAACAACCACAATAACAACAACACACACACGTACACTATTGTCTTCTTTGTCTCAACCCTCACCCACCCCATCTCAAACCCAAAATTCACACCGACCATCGCCACCTCCACTGCAATTCTACTTCAGGAACAACCAAATGATTATCATAGTCAAGCTCTACATAGAAAACATCTCATTGTCTCTACCTATGACAAGGAAATCCTTGCTCTTGTTTTGGTAGTGCAAAAATAGAGACCATATCTTTTGGGGAGGAGGTTTATTGTGCGTACAGATGATCACTTTGTTTTACTCCCAACTAAATTCATCTCAAATAAATCCCACACCTTAACTCAAATTCATCCCCCCCTAATACAAATTCTCTCTCCCTTTTCTCATCACCACTGGCACTCCCCTACCACCCCTAATTTTGTCTCTCTAAAATTTCCATTTCCCATTTTCTCTTTTCCCAAAAACCTAAAATCTTTTAGGGGATATTAAGGATTGAACCTTGCTACACTTACACATTTTGGTAGACAACTCTCTCACATGTGTGTGGACCCCATTGTGGACCCCACACACATGTGAAAGAATTGTGTACCAAGTATGTACACGGAGAAATTTTTTGTTAAAGATTTGGTAACTAGTACTAAGTTTGTTGTGTTTGTACGCTAGTTTCTTGATTCAATTTTTTGGCTCAGCCTATGTAATGATTTGTTACAGACTGTAGATGCCCAGGTAACGAAATACGATGAATCTATGGACACATACACAAACGATAACGCATTGATGATGATTTTGAATTTGCGATGGAGGTGGTTGGTGTGAATTTTGGGTTTGAGGTAGGTGAGGGTAAGGGTTGAGAGGGAGAAGACACCGGTGTGTGCCTTTTTTTCTTATTATTATTATTTTTTTACTATTTAACCGTTTTAACGTGACAAATGGAAAGTTACTCTTTTACCATTTTTTAAAACATTAAAAATGTGGTCAAATTTATATTTTTGGTCAACTGACAGAATTATAGACGAAAACTGTCCAAAATGGCTTTATTTATAATATTTAGAAAGGTTAGGGGTGACGACTAAAACAAATCAAAAATTTGAAAAAGATATGCTAATATTTCAAAAGTTTGACGCTTTTTCTGCAATTATCCTTTAATTAAAATACATACTTTTAATCACGACTGGAATACGAATGAACCAGGAGCCACCACGTTGGCTCCTGGCCTCCACCTCAAGCAGCACCTGCCATCACGCACTCTACTGCACCACCAAACTCCCTCCGATGACGACGTCTATCAAAACCACAGAAAATATTTATCCAGTTATTTTATGTATTTTACATAAGAACCCAATAATCAAAATCCCAAAAAGAAAGTAAACAAATCCAAAAACTCACATCATCTATTTCATATCCGTTCGTCGACAGTATCGCCCAACACCAAGAAAAGGCACAAGGTGAGTGAATCTGTCCTCTCCTAATATTTTTGGTCATTTTGTCACTACACTTGCAGTTCACGTAACATGATTATAATCTGATTATTGTTCTGCCTCTAAGTTAAGCAATTTTTGTACAGTTTTCTGATTGGGAAAAACAGTTTTCTTCACCCTTTTTTGGGTTTGCAGGAAACAAGAATTACTTTCTTGAATTCTTTAAATAAATCGGATCGGGTTTCTGTCATTACACTTACAATTCAAGTAACATGATGATAATGTGATTATTGTTTCTCATCTACCATACTTAAGCAATCGGTGTGAAGTTTTATTATTTAGAAAATCAAAATTTACACTGCTTTTGGGTTGCAGGAAACAGGATTTTTTTTAAAAAAAATCTTGAAACAAATAGGATGAGGTTTATCTGGAACCCGTTGGTTATGGTCAACCCAAATGAATTATATTGATGTATTGGGTAATTATACAGCAACTAATACTCCCAGAATTGTGCTAGTTTTATAAGAATGCATGGCTTAATTTCATGATTATTATATTTATTTACTTCAATTAAGCAATTTTTTGTACTCTCTATCTAAAAAAAGCAGTTTCCTAAAATAATTTTGTGTTTATAGGAAACAAGAATTACTTTCTTGAATTTTAGAAACAATTGATAAAGGGTTTAGCTGAAACCCAGTGATAATATCGTAGCCTTGCATATTCTTTAGTACCTTCATTTGGTTCGTATTCCTGTCAAACCTAGTGATTCTGGTCAACCAACTGAACTATATTGTAGCCCTGGATAACTTGCTTTATATTAATTTTGCAAGAATTTGCCTCTTAAATTTATAAGTTGCATCTATTTAAGTACAATATACCTTTGATAAAATGATTATTTAATTACAAGTTCTTGCCTGATGTCTACTCGAACTATACAGAGTATCTAGTTTGATTATCCTTCTTTTTAATGCTCGCACTCGTTATTTGATATCGATATGTTCGAAGGGTTGAATTGACATATTTTTGCAGGTTTGGCAGGGTTAAAATCCAATTGGGGATGATAAAAAGGGTCAATTATGCCTTATGATTGTATCTGGCCAATTTCCTGTAGTGATTGATATAAATGCAATTTGTTGCGGGGCATGCTGCCATTAACAGTATGGGATATTCTATAAGCAAATTGGAGATAGATTCCGGACTTCTTGATGGTTCGAGTTCTAATAATGAAGTTGAGGGTAGTTCTCAGTCCAAAAGTTCGTTGAATTGTTTGGATCATGAAATTGCTCAGCTCACAAAGCTTAGATCAGGACCCCATGAGAATTTGAGTCGTGTTCTGCCAGGGAAGCGTGAGCTTCCTGTTTCAACTACGAAAATGTTGGCAGGTCGAGAAGCAAATTTTTCGGGAAGAGGGAGGTTCACATCAGGAGATTGTCGTCACATTCTCAGTAAGTACTTGCCAGTTAACGGTCCTTGGGTTGTGGACCAGATGTCAACTAGGGCTTATGTGTCGCAGTTTTCTGTTGATGGTTCACTTTTTGTTGCTGCATTTCAGGTATTACGGTCTTCCTGCAGTTGATGGGCTTATAAAAGTGTATACATAATGTAACATTGTTCTTAGAAGTTCGAATGACTTAAGTTTTTCTTCGACTGCTAAAATATTTTGAACGTATGAAGTTCAAGAAATGTCCACCTTAATTGAGTGGATTATTTGTCGTTTCTCTAGTTGAATGTGCTTTCATGCTTTTATTGCTTCCAAATGATGAAATATTTTACTTGAAATCCTATTTGTTCTTTTAAAACAGGGAAGCCACATTAGAATATATGATGTGGATAGGGGGTGGAAAGTTCAGAAGAACATTCTTGCCAGAAGCTTGAGATGGACAGTTACTGACACGTCTCTTTCACCAAATCAACAATATCTTGTGAGTTCTCACGGTGTTTCCTCTGTATGAGATGGTGGTGAATGTGAACCTCCTCTCATGGTAGCTGATTTGAAATTGAATAAAATGTTTTATTTGAATTTGTGCCTTTTATATGTTAGACTTAATCACGATATGACATACTTGCACACATTAGGATACATATATTTGAGAATATCTTTTTATTTGAGTCAACATTTGCTATGCATACCAATCAAGTGCAACTGCAAGGTACTCAAGGAGGTTACATATCTTTTACATTTTTAATGTCTCTGATATTTAGGCTGTTTCTTGTGGTGCTTATTATGTTAAAAGTATAGAAAGATAATATTAGAGCAATTTTACTTCTTTGTTAGGATGAAACTCCATTTTCCTGTAAGATTTGGAAAGAATAAACGAGAAAAAAGTATACAACTCTCTGGATAAGAAGATAGATATAGTTGAAGTGTGAGCCAATCAAATTCTCAGTGCACATATAATGTACATTGGTAGTAATTGGTTGAATTTCTTGGATGAAGTTGAAGTTGAAGTTAAGTTGCTTGCTGTCTACTAGAGTCATAGACAGCCAGTAGTACCGGATGCTTTAGAATTTTATAACTCAATTATTATAGTATGTTGATTGTCATATTATTTCTGTTTTGTTTTCCTGAAGTGCAAATCCAATTTCTGTAATTACAATCTTATTTCTGTTTTGTATGTTGCGGTTGCAGGTCTATGCTACCATGTCACCAATTGTTAATATTGTTAATGTTGGATCTACTACAACGGCATCTCTAGCAAACATCACGGTACAAAGTCCAAGTTCTATTTAATTTGGTATTTGAGATGCTACTGTTGTTATGGTTAATAAAGATTTTTTACTATACTTGATTAGTACACAAGGCATGTATTTCAGTCCATTTGGACTTTCAGTGTTGCACTTGTGATTTAAGACTTGCATATATCCTTGTTTAGTGATTTTTCAATGGTGGCTTGTTTATTGTCCAGGAAATCCATGATGGTTTGGATTTCTCTGCTGCCGATGATGGGGGATATTCTTTTGGAATCTTCTCCTTGAAATTCTCAACTGATGGTCGAGAAATTGTAGCTGGAAGTAGTGATGATGCCATATATGTTTATGATCTCGAAGCAAATAAACTCTCTCTACGGATTCAAGCACACACGGTAGAATTGGCATTAATGAACAGACATCTTCTATCTTCTTTTATGTTTTCCAGTTGTTGAGTAAAATAATTGCTAGTAGCACATAGCGGAACGGACACTTCAATTTGTACATCACTCTGTGAAGAGGATGAGATTTCCTTATGAGTCATTAGGTCGTGGCTTTAGACTTTCAACAGTCGTGGAAAACTATGAGTTTCCTTCTATCATTAAATTTGCTTGAACTTGACTGCTCGATGGATACCATTTTTATCGAGTATAGAATGAAGTTGTCATGCTTGCTTATCCTTCAGCGGGCGGCATTTTGTGAGTGAGTTGTGAAATTCATGGGTGCCCCTTGTTTTTAAGAATAACTGGACTCTTTGACGTTTGCGAGACAAAAAAAAAAAAGGCGAAAGTTGATTTTGCCCATTTGTTGAACAAAACAGCACCAATCCAATGAATTCGTGTGCAACCTGCTTTGTGAAGTCTGATTCTTGTTTTGCCGGTGATATCTCGCTGTTTTTATTTTTTGAAGAATGCAATCTCGGAACCTAAAAGAAATTGTTTAAAAAGATTGTTGAAACCAAATGTGTTCGGATTTAGCTATTATCTATTTTTACTTTTCCTGAAAGTTTATATGGACAGTTGACCAGACGTATTTCCTTCCTGATGCAGTCTGATGTCAACACGGTATGTTTTGCTGATGAAGGTGGCCATCTTATTTATTCTGGGAGCGACGACAATTTCTGCAAGGTAAACACTTATGCACCTCACCATAATGAACCTTTACATTACGAGCTCTTCTTAGTGTGGGCAAATTTGGTGATAAATATTATTGAAAGCTTAAATTGTTAAAGAGTTGACACATTTATTTATTTAAATTTAGTCTTCATCACACTCCCTCATGTGCAAGCCTGATTTCATCAAAGGTATGACATGTAAAAAATTTTCTTAAATGGATGGCAGCACTCGCCCTCGAATTCTCGACTTCTGCTGCTCTAATACCATGTTTAACCACTTCGTCTAAAAGATTGAGATGTGATGTTAGGGGGCACGCTTATTTATTTAAATTTAGTCTTCAACAACAAAATTTTACCAATTAGTTTGTGAAAGGACAGCAATGTATTGGAAGTCATCTGGCATTACCTGTGAACTTTCTGTTACTTGTAATCAAAGTTTCTTTAAATATGAATTAACCCATGCTTGACGATCCTGGGAACAAATGTTTCTCATCTGTTTATTTCTCCCACATTCATCTTTATATTTTCTCATGAAGATAAATATTGTGTTGGCTTGTATTAATTCAGAATTGTTATTGTTATTTAAATCTTGTAGTTCTAAATGTTCCTCAACGACCAAATGTTAATCAAAGTTTCTTTGCTTAGGCGAGTTCTTATAACTTCTGTTAGCCCTCTTAGAAATTTTGAAATTCAAAGCAGTTGATTTAGAGCTCTTAAATTTATTGGAAGAGGTTCCTCCTGCTTGTGCACAAGTTACCCAACAGTATTGTAGCATTGTGAGTGTAAAGAATTTTCAGCTTCTTTAAAGCCAAGAACAGAGCCAGAATCCTCTGCTTTCGTTATTTTTCCCTTTTCTCTTCCTGTAGTGTTTTGTTATTTAGATGCCGCAGTGTTTGGAACATCAAGTTATTTTTCCATCTACTCGATTCTGCTATGAATCTTTGAAGGATTTTCTTCCTTTTATGAAATTCACATCTTTAAATGAGCGTTTGTTCCTTAAATTTAACATAGCCGAGGAGAACAGAAACGTAATGGGGCATTTATGATTTGGATGGTGAAAAGTGATGTATAACACTCTGAAGTGCAGTATTGGTCGATGGCAAAGGATTCAACTAGAACTTAAATAAGACAATTTTGCCACTTTGGAGGCAATAGAGAAGTTAAGTTTTCTTTTATTTGTTTTAATTGAATAATGCGATGTAACTTCTTGTTCTATATAGGTTTGGGACAGACGCTGCTTCAAAGTCAAAGGCAAGCCAGCAGGGGTCCTAATGGGCCACCTCGAGGGTGTTACATTTCTTGATAGTCGTGGAGATGGCCGTTATTTTATTTCCAATGGTAAAGATCAGGCAATCAAACTCTGGGATATAAGGAAAATGTCATCCAATACTAATTGGTATACCTCGTTCAGCCTTTCCATTGTCTCCCTTGAATTTTCCTTCCATGGACGTCACAATTTTAATTATTTAATTGGCTCGTTACATTTTCGCTCCCTGCCGAGTTGTTTGTTACAAGTATATGATGCCAGTAAGGATGTGGCATAAAAATAGGCTAACTATTCAGGGAAGGTAAATATCCATGTCAATCCAACCATTCTATTAGGATTCCGTACTTGAACAAGACATGGCACTCTAGAATATAGATATGGACATACTTTAAGAACACATGGTACAGTTATGGGTATGGATCTAAGTCTTGGTCACTTGAATTGTCAATTTTTTTTTTTTTTACCTGGAGTTTGGTTCAAAGAAGGATTCTGACATTCTCACGTGCACCTATTAGTTATGTTTCATATCCTTGTTCACCGCTCAAATGCTTTGATATTGCATCCTCTCCAAAATCTATCATATTTACCCTATAAGTAGACGTGCACGTCCGTACTAGAGACTGAGGAGCATGTCCATGGACAATATAGTAAAACTGATGTCTAAGTCATTGGTTCACACGGATAATTACTCAATAGATCTAGGATAAACAGAATAAAAGCTTTCGTTTCCTCTTTTTACAGCTATCAAGGACACAGGAATTATGAATGGGATTACAGATGGATGGACTACCCTCCTCAGGCAAGAACCTTGAAGCACCCATATGATCAATCAATAGCTACTTACAAAGGTCATTCAGTCTTGCGTACTCTCATCCGGTGCTACTTCTCCCCAGAGTATAGGTGACTGTTCTTATAGAATCATTCCATCTTCATCTTAATTTCTGCTTAACTTGTACCTTTCGGTTTATCAATAAATTTGCATGAACTTGATTCTCTGGCTATCAAAATTAAAGATGCTTTATATTTCTTTACGACTTGCAGCACTGGCCAGAAGTATATCTACACTGGATCTCATGATTCGTGCATCTATATTTATGATTTGGTACGTATATAATTCTTTTAGCTGAATATCTCCTTTGCTCAATTACATTTTCCTAATGAATGCTGGACATGGAATTCTTTTAATGCATTCTATGAGTGGAGGTCACCTTAAAAGGATTCGATTTCATGATATCGTGGAAATGTTTTAAGGATTCTTGGAATCCTTGAGATCGAGCGTGTTTGGCCAAGACGAAAAAGAGAAGTAAATGTAGGAAAAAACATACTTTTAAAAAAGACAAGTTTTTGAACTAATAAATACCTTTTTGACCTTTTTGGGCAAACGTGTTTGGGAGAAAATGATACTTAAAAGTAACTTTGTAAGCTTTTAGACTTATGTTCGCTTAACATAAAAGTTGCTTTAAAGTACTACTTTTTATAAGCTTAGCAAAACATGCTCTTGTGCTGAATTGAAGATTATTTAAGATATTCGAGAAAAATATCCTATTGTTTTTAGCTGATGATAGACGTATAAGAGTTCTTTTGACGTCAATGCTATGAGAACAGTTTCCAAATATAATCTGGCGACTTCAGTTCATACCGATATTTTGTACGTGGTGACTTTAATCTTTAGGTAACCGGGGCCCAAGTTGCGAAGCTACAGCACCATAAATCAACTGTCAGAGATTGCAGTTGGCACCCTACGTATCCGATGCTTGTTAGCTCTTCTTGGGATGGGGACATTGTCAAATGGGAATTCCCTGGTAACGAAGAGACACCAGCCCCTACAAGCAAGAAGAAACACCGAAGGAGACATTTTTATTAAGGACTGCATGTACCGTCCGTAAGTTGTTCAAATAATGGGCTAACGTTATCATGTATTACAAGCAATTTGCATAATTATTCGCTGTGATATATGGTTTGCAAATTTGCTTTATATCTCGTGGTGTTATGAAATAAAATATATGTACCATGTACGGTTTATACATTGTATATAATTCCTGAAGAATAATACTCAATGCTTGTTGCTAATACTGTTATGTCTTAGTTTACCATAGCAAATGTCTGTTTCTTGCTTTGATATTACGTGAATAAGATAAGTTGTAACGCAAATAAGTTTTTGTTGGTCTCAGTATCATCATTTTATGTCATTCATAATTGCCAGGTTAGTACGGTGATCGGTTCATGACATCTTAAGATCTAGGTAAAAATTGTATTGTTTAATAATCGAGTCCTTCCAACCATCCACCCCTAATGGTGCAAAAAAAGATAAAGAGGGAAAAAGAAGGGAAAAATGAAAAAAATGACCCATCTTCTCTTGGAGACAGTACTTTCTTCTTGTGAGCGTTCTCCTTGAAACCAAAAGAAGAGTGAGAAATACGCAAAGCATTTACATGACTTTGGAGAAATAGTTGGTATTGGTCATTATCAAAAGACTAGCCTAGTGATTCTTGAGAAACGCTCGAAGTAAAGGTTACATGTTTGATACGTTAGACTGAACATGATTAGAATTGATCTCCTGTTCATTGAGGACATGAGATCATTCATATGAACATGATAATTATAAATTTTGTAACATGTCTATCTTCTTGAATCTACAAGTTCCAAACACATTCTAGCTCTTCAGCAACACGTGTATACATGAATCTAGCACGAAACATCGAAAAATTTAAATGGGGATCGCTTTATGGTATCCAAATGTTGTTTGGATTGAGTAAAAGATCGTCTCAGTTGACTAGATTTCTCGAGTTGAGCCCAAACAAGTTGGAATTCTATCCACCAACGTTTTACAATCTGATCATATAAATGTTGTTATTTGTAAATTATCTTGTTCATGGCGGATGGCAATGCCAAGTAGGAGTCATAATTCAGACATTCATTTCCTTAGCGAATTACTAGGTAAGATTACTTTATTTTCAACGACGCCCCATTTAAGCATGTGGGATCATGACATATAGATACTAGGAAAATTTTTGTTGAAGGTCACTATAGGTTTGTTTCATGTTTTGATTACTTCGCTTTCATTTCATTTCCTTGATTTAGATTTTACTTCATTTTGATCATTTAGTGTGTAAATGTTACCAAAACTAAAAGGCCAAATCTTATATGGTTGATAGAATGTGTGATCTTGCACTAGTAAATTGGTGTCAACCAATCGTCGAATCACAAATTTCGTCAAATTGAAAACAAAACAAAATTGAATGATGACATGAAAAAGATGGAAATCTCCGATGATGACCCTTCTATCATTAGAGGCCACGACAAGTGACTAGGCGATGGACACCAAGAAATATAGTAGGGCCCCCTTCAATTAGAGGTGGATTTTTTTTGGCATAATCAAATTAATTATAAGTCACTACGAGAAAATTGCCGTGCACAAGTTCTATTTGAATATTTTGTTCGAGAATATTGTCTAAGAAATGATGAAAAAAACGTATACAGTTTAACATTCCCATTTTGCCCTTGATGGAGATTGTGATTCCCATTTTACCCTCTCCGTCTGCATTGTTGAGCAGGCCTTGTCTTCTGTTTTCCAACCTTTAAAGGACAAGGTGTCCGTATGGGCAGGACCATACAATTATACTGTAGACACAGTGAACTGCTTAGTGGAATCTCAGCAGTTGGATTAATCCGAATCCCGGTTAGGTAATTGTGCTGTAAATACAGTACTCTTAAACCGCCTGCCAATATCCGGTCCACAAAGCTACCCGGGACTTGACCTGTGAACAGGTTGTTATTCAGATATAGATTCTCAACCGTGGAAAACAATGGAGATATTTCGCCTGACAACTGGTTGAAGCTCAAATCCACGGTCGGGATTGTTACGAAATGAACCGGTTGAACGGGGCCGGAGAATAGGTTTCTCTGAAATTGAAGGTTAGAGATTGGGAAACTGAAGATAATGCCAGGAATCCGACCGGTGAACATGTTCATGCTGAGGTCGAGGTAGCTTAACCGGCTTAGACGGGATAAAAGCCGGTCCAAGGGGCCGGTGAGCCGGTTCCAAGAGAGTGAGAGGTATTGAAGAGAGGGAGGGAAGGATAGTGGTGAAAGGGAACCGGATAGGGCGTTGTGCTTGAGATCGAGCCGAGTTAGGATACGGGAACCGAATGGCGGAACTGGACCAGAGAGCCGGTTGTGAGAGAGAATGACGTTGGACAGCGCCGGTAGGGTTCCGATGGACCAAGGGATTCTGCCGGTAAGCAGGTTGAAACTAAGATCAAGGGTCCGAAGTCCCCGGAGCTGGCCCAGAGTCACCGGAATTTGGCCAGAGATGAAATTCCGGCTGACTGCAAGAAACCTCAAGTACTTCAACTGAGATAATGTCTGTGGTAGAAACCCGATTACCCGACCCGGCACCACAGTGAATTCGGCAAGAGCAGAGAGTTTACCAATAGCCGGGTTGATCCGACCAGTCAAACCCGGTGACCCGGCCCGTGGATCACCCAGATTTAAAGCTACAACTCTATTTCCTCGACAATACACTCCGGCAAAGTTGCATGGATCCGAAGTGAAATCCCAGGAAGCAAAAAAATTCGACCCGGGTAAATCCTCCAAGCTTCTCCGGATTGCTTGCAGGGCCAAGAAATCAACAGGTGCCAACATGCCACCCGCAACAATAGTGCAGTTGAAGAAGAAAATGAAATTGGAAATAAATATGAAGTTAACATTTTTTCTAGATAGAAACCTCATAACTTTGTTCTTCTACAGTTGAATGTAACGGTGCAGTAGAAATAAAAGGTTTCTGGGAAATGCTTTTCCGTGAAGATTAGAGATTTATGGTGGGAAAATAGAGGAAGGGCGTGAACGCTTTAATGGAGACAGCATGAAAGTTGCAGAAATGAAAGTGATATATATAAAAAGAATGGCTTCGCATGTAAGAAAGCAACAAAATATGTATTCTGTGTTGTGGGTTCCCTCTTCAGTGAGGGTTTGATACCCATTTTAATGAGTTGAAAACTTTTGAAATAGTGATTAATTGGAGGATATGTAGTGGAAGAGTGATGAAAAGTTTTAGATTTGTGTGTAATATTATTTATTTTTGAAAAATGTGTAGTTAAAATAAAGAAAGACAAAAAAATGAAAAAGAAAATGAGTACCAAACAGGGCTTAAAAAGGTGGATAATCCGTTTATTATTGGTCAATTCACTACAATTTATATTTATCTAATTATAATTTACACCGATTATAAACAATTCTCAAACATATTGATCATTTTAGTGCTTGCTCAAAAAAGTTCAAAAGTTGTTAAAAATTAAGGTCAAAGTTAAAATTTTATCGTTCTATTCAACATTAGATTAAGCCCATGTTTGTCTACCATTTTTATAAACATTGTTTTCTACAGTAAACAATTTCAACCACATATTCATTCAATAAAATATTCCACACACAAACCAATAAAGTCACTTTAAATTTCAACCACACATTCTCCAAAAAACACTATTCCTTACTCCATTTCTCCACCAATAATGGTAGAAAAACAGGCTCTAAGGTTATTTAGGAGAGATTTTTTCAAAATAAGTAGAACCCAAACTTCTATGGGAATTATAATTAGATTAAGGTCAAAATATTTTTTTTAAAAATTATTTTTCACTTGAAAAATTGACCTTATGATAAGGAAAATAGAGTGGCTTGGGAGGAAAGTAAACAACCAATGGTTTGATTATTGTTTTGTAGTTAAGCGGTTAGAGTTTATTGGCTTGTGAGAGAAGGACCGTGGCTGCATCAAGTACGAGGACAAGTTAATAATAGAATATTTTATTGCAGCCTTTTTCTGGTTTGGTTTTGGGTATACGTGTCCGAGCCTAACTGGAACTGTACGAGGCTGACCAATGAAAGTGATACTCCCCTGTTTGATAGAATTTTTTTTGTAAGGGCGTGGTTAAAAATTATATTTTTCTGTGTAATTAAAAAGTTAAAAAGAAAAAGAAAGAAAAAATTAGGGTACATATTAAAATTGAAAAATTAATCGTTATTGTTGACTTTTATTAGACTAGTTAGATCCAATAACTACTATATTTTCAATTTTAATTGAATTTTAAGCTCTGTCAAACATACCATAAAAGACAGATTTATCCATTTTACATATCAACAAACAACAGTTGAAGTTCATACCACGTGTCAAAATGCTAGCAAGTTCATTTTCTTTGGTGTCGCATAGCCTACACGAGAATACTGAATTCAGTTTACGATGGCACTAAGGTTTCACAACTACGAAAATATGATTAAGGAACAAAAGTGTAGAAGAAAAAAGCAATCACAAAACATAAGGAAACTCTTCTCAGCCTTTAGTACTCCACAATATGGGATATATGATTTTATGTGAAGGACATTACAATTATTTGGTCCCCCGTTTGATCTACATTATTATCTCATCAAAATGAAAAATATGACTGTTATCCATTACATAAACATTTAAATTCAAATTTTCTATCTTTTATGTGGGGCCACAATAACGACTATATTTTTCATTCTCATCATACAATAATTTGGCTGAAATAGGACCTTAATTGTGACACTTGGGGCCATGTTTGAGCCACATTTTAATTTAATGCATTTCTCTCTTTCGTCATTTTCAACAAAACATTCTTCAATTTAAAAAAAAAAAACTATATGTACGTAAAACACCGTTCATAAAATAATGCCAATGTTTGATCCCTATTTGTATAAATACTCATTTTTTCACGACTCAATTTTAACCACATTCTCCTATAAAATAATATTATACATAAAACAATTTTTTTCCTTATTTTCTAACCAAACATTCTCTAAAAAATTACTATTTCAAAACTTATTTTTCTCCATAATTTCCATTAAAATGAAGCCCACAAGTAAATCCAAAATTTTTCCTTACTTTTTAACTACATATTCACATATTCCAAAAAAAAATTAAAAAAATTACCATTACTAATTCACAAAACCCCCATTAAAATGGAGCTGAATCAAGGACTCAGCCAAATATATAAAATTTCACTATGCAGTGGACATCCCCATCTGCTAGACAATTATATTAAGTTTTTAGCCTACCACTAACCCAAACTGCTCCATTATTCAGGCACTTGGTAAATGCCTATTCTATGCCAACCAATTTTGGACTGAAATTAGCTAAGGTAACAAGCTGACATCAGTCCATGCCTTGCTGCCTCCAACCGATACTCGTGCCACATTGTCACGCACGATGCCGAGAATCTTGCACCTCCATAGGCAATGTCACGCACGATGCCGAGAAATCTTGCACCTCCATGGGCAATCTCGCACATACGTAGAGAAATTCTGTCCGTGCAATATTACCGTCAAATAAATCGTGCACTATACGCCACAATTAGATGTGTGTATTCCTCAAACATTTGTGCAAGCTCCGCACGTAACTTAGCCAAATGCGGACGCACACATCAATGCAACAATAACCCGCTGCCCTATCAAATGCGTACAATTCCTGCACGTATGCACCACGGCATCAACATAGGGCAAGTCTTGGTCTATGCCTAAGACCTCACAATCAATAGGGGGTTAAAACCTAGCCTCTGTAACAGCGAGGGGAAAAAGGAGAAATTTTTTAGGATTTATTTAGGTACCTCCTAATACTCAAAAGCACTGCTTGCAATATTATAAATAGACAAATTAAAAATGTATTTGTCTGGCCACGTAAATTAATCTTTAAAAGAGTTATAACATATCAACAAACAACAGTTGAAGCCTTGATGATATGGAGAAATTATTTGGAATTAATTACTCGACCCAGCTAAACGTGTAAAAAAATAATAAAAGTGACATAAATTACAGAAATACAAAAGCAAAATAAATTGCTCAATAATTGTGGAGTACAAATGCATAAAAAATATAGCAGCCCCAATTTGGTTAATAATTGATAAGGTCGATTTTGATAAATATGAATAGAGGTGTTAATTGGGGTCAAGTCATTCATATCCGGCGTGATCTTTCTAGAGGCGGGCCCACCAAATCGAATGAATTTGTTTTATTATTACATTAAAAACGAAGATCCCATATAGACAACAGAAAAATACAGGTTGTATGGAGCCTATAGATCGGGACCGGCTACTTTGAGCCACCTCATAGGCGGATTGACCCGCCTTGACCGGATCCACAGCCTCTGCATCATGAGCAATTTTCTCGAAATGGAGCAAGCCTTTTGCATTAATCCGACAACGACCCTCTTAAAATGGTCCTAAAATGAGTAACTGCACCAACCCCAACAACCATAGCAACCAGTCATCATGTGCCAGGGTGGTACAAACTCACTCCATAAGTAAAGTAGTATCAAATAAGAAAACTGTTACACTTACATTCATTAAAGTCGTCTCACGCTACTTAAAGAGGACCGTAAAAATCACAGTCCTCTAATGACTGTACAAGTAGTATTTTTGATCAAATAATTCCACAAATAGTTAAATTTTTAGAAATTCAAGTTCTACATGAAGCCCTTTTTCTAATGATTTCGTTGAAGCCGATTTTTTCCGTGTTTCTTGCTGCAAATGTTCGCTTGTAGCACAACATATTTAAATGAACTAGAATTTCCCTCCCCAAGTATTTTCAATGTTGTTGGGATCTAAGTTAGGTTTCGGATCTACAGTTACAGTAATCGCTAAATGAGATGTTCAGATCATATGGAGAGAATGAGATACATAATTCAAGTACGATTGTCGCTTCAGAATTTTTTTTACTTTCTTGGTATTGCTCGTAAGGATGGGCCATGATAGTTATGTTTCTACGAATAAGAAAATTATTAAAACTAACTTAACGCGGGCTTTCGGGCTCAACTGAACTCACTTTTAGTGTGTTTGAGCCACATTATTTTGAAAGAATGTATTTTGGAATAGTAGATTGATGGAGAATGTGTGATTGGAAAAGAAGGAAAAGTATTGATGTGATAGAAAATATTATTTTATTGAAAAATGTAGGGTTGAAAATGAGTTCAAAAATGAAAATAAAAATTTTAATGTGGCTCAAACAGAAATTTTAATAAGTTTAGATGCAAGGAGACAAAAGAATAAATAATTTTTGCGACATTCTTGTCTCTTTAAGCTCATGTTTGGTTTGAATTAAAATTCAATTAAAATTTCAAGTCAAAATCAACAATTAATTTTAATCACATATTTCATGGGATTCACAACTTTTCAACTGTACATTTCATCAAAAAAAAAAAAAAGAATTTTTTTTATCAAAATCTACTTAAAATTTGATTTTAATCTCTACCAAATATGGGCTAATTTTGTTTATTATTATAATCTTAACATATTAAACGCATATTCTTGACAAACTGTAGAAGTGAATTAGACGTCCTAGTTTTATTTGTCGTGGCTTGTCAAAAGTCCAACGATAACTCTAGATTGGGTCAAGCCATGAGCCACTTTGCCCCTTAAGCTAGGTCATGTTGGACTTGACTTTAGGACTAATTGTAAGCTTGTCGAACCTTCTTCTTTACATTTTTATGCCAAGTATTGGGGATTAGGACTAAATTTTGAACCCAATTAGGAGTATTTGCTTTAATCAACGCGAACAATGCTTGTCTTTCAGAGTTTTAACCTACAAATTGAGCATCTAAAAAGCCCCCAAAAGAGAAAAATGGAATCGAATTCTGTTTCCAATGCAAATAAAATTGAAATTATTAGGGCGCCCAGCAAATTGATTATAAAATTTAAAATGTTGAATATACTTTTTGCCATTATTTATATTTAGTTATTTTATTTTATTTATTTATAATTAAAGAAAGGTTTAGGTTCAACTAAAAGTGAATTGAATCGACTCAACTCGTCGTCGTACAAGAACTAAGACTAGTTATGGCCCCAACGAGTTGGCTTGTGTGGGCAAAAAAATATGGCCTTCAAAAATAATAGACGCAATCTGTGTAGTAAAACTTTATATTTTATTTCTTACAAATACTGTCTAGTACTGTACAATATGTTTTACAAACTAAACATTATGCACGAAAAGTGTACTCAATAGGTACACATACATTACAGAAGATACAAGTATTTTCAATCGTGTCAAAACTTCTTTTCATGGTTTTGTTTTCCAGTGGGTTGCGTTCTAATCCACGCTCGTGAACAGGATGGACACCGGTGAAATTGCCTCGACACCTCCCGGATTGATGGAAATCTTCAAAACATCTGTAAACTGCATCAGTTCATGCTGCTAAGCATTTTGTATAAAATCTTCGCTCTATCTTTAGCCTGCTTGGAAATGGCTATCTAATACTCTACCAAACATGCCAGAAGTGTATCCTTGGACACTTTCATCTACTTAGATGTTTGGTGCTAATTAATTGATCAAGAAATTCAGACTTCGAGGGGGGCAATATGTTTCTGCAAACTTGCATAACTTGAGCCACGGTTTAGGCTGTGCTCTTCTGAACGAAAATGCTCTTTGAAATACGTCTTCCAACTGGATAGCTCTTTACTTTTCCTCATCAAATCTAGGCAGCCCCAGCTTCCACGTAAAAGCAGAAGAACCTATAATCACATGGATCACTACTCAATTGGATTAAGGCTTGCAGACTTGTAATATCAGGATATTGTTTTTTCCACGAATAAAATCTTTACGTCTGTTCAATGTCTACCGGACATTCTTGAATTAGATAGTCCCGACCGCACATAAGCAATGTTATAACTGCACATACCTGACTCATCGTAGGACGTTGAACAGATGATTCTTTCACACATAAAGAAGCAGCCAAAATCATGAGATTCATTTGTGGTAAGTTGTAGTCATCGTCCAGCGCAGGATCCACAAGCTCCCTAATTTTGTTCTGCTTTATCAGAGGTTTTGCCTAGAAATAAGTAAACAGGAATTTCAGATGCCATCCAGCAGCTAATATAGCAACTCAACTCAACTCAAATCAGATTGGACGGAAGATTCATACCCACATAACAAGGCTTTGTTGTGAGCAATCGAGTGCTCGACGCCCGGTGATAAGTTCCAACAGAAGCACACCAAAGGCAAAAACATCGGTTTTTTCATCTACTATGCCATGCATCAAGAATTCAGGAGCTAAATAACTGCGGAGAGATGAGGAAATTAGAAGCAGAATCTTGAATTGATAGAGATAGAAAATAGAGAAATGTTACATTCTAAGTACCCGAAAGTGCCTTCAAATTCAGAAATCGTGAGGTGAGTCCATTGCTCCGGTAGCCATTTTGCAAGCCCATAATCACAAATCTGCTTAAAAGAAATTTCTGAGTTCCAACCATCTAATAAACTTAAAACCTGTCATTTCTTCAGGCTATTTTACTGATATGAAGCAGATTAAACAGATATGACTAAGTTCAATTATCCAAATATCAGGTGCATGTGTTCACCAAATCACTAGTATCTAACTTGAAACATGTTTGGCTAAACATAAACCTACTTAAACATACTTTTAAGTAAGTTATGTTTCAAATGGGCTTGGATACGATACTCTTTACCTAGTTATGAGAAGAAAAAGTCTCTTATTTTGAAGTGAAAGTAGGGGTTACTGTCAAAACCTAATTATTTCTGACTCTTTGACCAACAAAAAATTTATTTAACACCTGAGGCTTGAAGTCCTTAGTGAGCAGTATATTCGCAGACTTGATATCTCTGTGAATGATTCTTCTTTGCCCTCCCTCGTGGAGATAAAGCAAACCCTTAGCCGTTCCCAGTGCAACCTTGTACCTGATATCCCATTTTAGCTTCTCATCTGAACCTGTTTAGTTTAAAAACGATGGGGAAATTTGAGAGGAAAATTTGAGAATAAGAATACAAAAGCAATAAGTAATTGATGAAAATGGAACCACGAAAAACTGTACTAACTGTGAAGCTGAGAAGCCAAACTCCCAAGGGGAGACAGATCGAGGACAAGGTACAGTCCTCCTTCAACCCCATATCCAATCAATTTGGCGGTATTTGGATGGTTTATATGAGCCATTATCCCAAGTTCGGATAAAAAGTTTCTGATTTTCTCATCTGGTGGTCCTTTCGTCAGCCGCTTAATCGCAACAAGCTGGCCACCCCGCAAACAACCTCTATAAACTTCGGCATAACCACCTTTCCCAATCAAACATTCTAAAAAATAGAAGTGCGAAATTAATATTTTGGCAACATCATAAAACGATTCCTATTGCTTCAAAAAGCAATGTGAAACAAAAATACGAGGATTTGATTTTCGAACATATTCCAACCTGGTGAAAAATAGTTGGTTGCAATTTGGAGTTTGCAGAAGCTAAAGTTCTTGCAATGAGGCTTGAAATAGTTCAAATTAGTATCCATAACAGGATTAGGTGCTTCACGGACTTCCTCTCTCATGCTACTGCTAAATCTTTTTGACAGGTTGAGAGGATGTAAGGTGGCTAATCGACTTTTGGATTTATTTCTCAATAATTGAACAAATCCAGCCCATAGAGAAACGGGTTTTCGATCTTTCTCCCTTTCAGATTCCGAAGTGCTCGTTCTAGGGGAATCTGTGTCGGATTCTATACTCCTCAAGTAGTCCTCAAGAACTGTATCTGGGGAATAAACATCCTCTCTCTCTTTCTCCATGTTTCAAAATATCAAAACTACATAAAACAGCAAACAACATCTAATAGAGAGATGCAATATTTTAATTCAATAGAAACAGATTAATAAATTCAGATTGAGAACAAATCATTTATTTTGCCAATCAAAAATTGCGAATTACCCACAAATGTTGCCGTCAATGAAAACAATACTAATCAAAGACCAAGAGCAGATAAAAAAACAAAAACTTAGCAAAATGACCCAAAATTTCGAAGTTCAAAAACATAAACGAGGAATTGGCCCACGAGATGACAATCCAGTATTGGGGATTAGACCATAGGAAAGAAGAACATAAATTAAAATCTTCTCATCGTCAAGTCCAATACTAATGTACTGAAAATATATTCCCTATAGGAATAACAGAATACAGAAACCTAAGATAATCAATCCCTTTATTGAACAGTTTTAACATTAGGAAACATGAAAATTTAGTAATACAAAAGCAGAGAAATCAAGAAAATATGACAAGAAATAACGGATATATTTATTGCAAATTAAACAAAAACTTGCAGAAATTCCATTCACTGTCTATGATCTCAAAAAACGTCAAAAGATCAACGCAAGAACATAAGAAAATTAGACGAGAATAGTAAGTTTATGGATTAAGACATACCAGTAATACTAAGAAGCTGTCGGTTGTTGAAGGTTGTCCTATCAAGAGATAATATAGTGAGAGAAACTTGGAGGATTTTAAGGAAGAATTTGTTGGGTTTTATCGAAGAAATTCTACTGTTTTGAGTTTGCAGAGTTTAGCGCTCAAAAGACGTCGAACTTCATCGACAAGCTGCTGAGGAAGAATTAAAAGGATGCTGAGAATATGTGCTATGTACCAAATTTTTTTTTTTTTGGGGACTTTTTGTCTGCGGCGGGCAACGTAGGCTTCTAAAATTCAGTTCTTCGAGTCAACAACGGCAAGTATGATACCACGTGCCTAATGCTCAAAACTCCGTGCTCTTTGTTTTGACATTTGTCTATCTTGGTCAATTTTTTTCTCCCACCAAAAATTAAAAATTGTCAGGTATTACATCAAGTTTTTTGGTGGGCGTTTGGTACGATTAAAATTAATTTTTTAGTAAATTATGATAGAAGTTTTTGAAATTTGTAGTTAAAAAGTTGTGGGATCCATAAAAGATATGATTAATATTGATTGTTTGATTTTGACTTAAATTAAAATCTGATTTTCATCCGAAACAAACAGTGTTTTTCAACCTAACATAATCGATGGCAGGGATGAGTGGACTTCAATGGATCCTGGGCCCCTATCGAAATTTTTTATTTGTTTCGGATTAAAATCAAATAATCAACATTAATCATATCTTTCATGGGTCCCACATCTTTTTAATCAGATATTTCAAAAACTTCTATCTCAATCTACTGAAAATCTAATTTTAATCCACACCAGTTTAATAAATATTTTAGCATTATAAAATTAAGAAAATGGGCGGATATATTTCTTTACAGCTGAGAAAATGTGAAAGAAAATCATAAGATTTTCGACAGTTTTGAGTTGTAATTATTAAGTGAGCTTTAATCATTAATTAAAAACAAGCTGATGCCGTAAGCAAATTTCTGTCTGATTTAAGAGTTTTAATCACTTCATAAATCATTTCAAATAATGATTGCTTTTCCCTAATTACAAACCCAAACGGTCACTTAAAACAACCATTTTTATATTTTTATACATTTTTCTTTGGATCTTTAAGAAATTAATTTGTTATTTGATGACTTTTTATTGATTCCCCTTGCTGCTTTTTTTCTTTCGCGTCGAAAGAGTTGGTACGTAATACTTCCCTACTTACCTCACAAATACGTTATACGAGTTACTATTCTCTTGTACATGCTATAATTATTTTAAGAACGTTCAAAATTTAAAATAAAGTCGGTACATGTTACAAATATGATAGTGTAGGTTTTAGGTATCCGTAATTTGAAAATAGATACATTGATGCAACTGGATATGATGAGCAAGTTAATCGCGTCGAAATTGGATGAATAATATTACTTTTCTAGGTAAAAACGAGCCACTAAACTAAACTCGTCGAAAGCTATCAAATTAGAACTTTTATTATTAAGATGAAAATTAATTTTATTTATTTTTTTCTTGTTTTAATTATTTTGAGATTTATTTTAATTAGTTTACTAGAGTTTGTCTTTACTTAGAATAGTAATTTGGGTTTATTGTTTGAAATGTTAGTCGTCTTCCACATATTTGCAATGCACCATAAATGCTTTGTAGCTCTAGGAGCTTCACTAACTCGAAAAAAGGGTAAATCGAAAAGTTCCTATTCATAATAAAATTGGATCAGGTGTTTTAGTTGATACAAAAGATTATGTAATTTTTGAAAGATATTAATGTAATAATCACAAAATCGAATAATTTGCTTCAAAAGAATGATAATATGAGATTCCAAATGAACAAAAATACTCGAACATTGCTTGAAATTGTAATTATAAAACCTTCAAATACACTTCAAATTATTTTGAAAAATGTTTGAGGTATAAATTGTTGGGACCCTTTGAACCCACGTATTGTGAAAAACTGGAAGAGATTAACGGAGCAATGTGAAATATTGGTCGCTCAACAAATAAGAACAAGATTTAAAAGTAAAGAAAAGAAAAAAAATGGTAGAAGATCAGATATTTTATTAAACAACCAATGGAGAGAAAATATAATTTCAACAATTTCTGCTATCAAAAACTAAATGAAGAGTCTACTATTTATAAGGAGGATACCCAAACCCAAGATGGAAACAAGATAAAAACAAATCGCGTGAAATAAAGGAAACAATATTTTCCCAAAATTTTTCCAATAAAACACGTGAAATAAAGAAAATAATATTTTTTCAAATATGTGCAAAGAAGGAAAAATATATTCTCAAAAATTCCGACCTAATTTGGGTCACAAAATCCAACAATCTCCACCTTGACACAAATTTCGGTCACGAACGAAACTCTAAAATTTCTCCGCTCGGAAAAATAAGTCAGACTGCATCAGAATAAATCAATCTCTTCATTCAATAACCACCCTCTCCAATTGAATAAAACCATCGCCTCTGCCCAGTGTCCACACGCGACACCCGACCCCCATCAATAAATCAATCTCTTCATTCAATACAAAAACTCTCTACCTCACGAAAAACATCACCTCTGCCCAATTACCACAAGCGACACCCGAACCCAACGTCGGGTTTCCAAAATTCCAACAAAGGATTCAACAAATACCAAATAGGGTCGAAGCATACCCTGTAGTAGAATCCATACCAAATGCTTGAATTGAAGGCCCCTTGTTAGAACTGTTACCTTCAAACAACCCGAAAGCATGATCACACACATCTGAAACCCGGTACCTATGCTCTATGAGTTGTCCTTTAGCAAATGACTCAGAGCCCAACACGAAAGAAACTGGATCTCTTCCACGATACTAAACCTGTCCAAATGTCTCTTCAATGGTTATGCGCGCCCCTGCATGATATACAGTTGAGAACTCTTCCATCATTCCAGCACAACACGTTGACCCCTTTGGACTTTCAAGACTCCACCTCCACCGGAGAATGTGTACCAATTAGAATCCAGGGTACTTAACGAGATGAGATTATTCCTTAAGTCTGGAACATACCGAACCTGGCGAAGAACTCGAATTGTCCCATCCAATAACCTCAATCTGACTCGACCGATTCCAGCAACCCTATAAGATTGGTTGTTTCCTATGACAACTCCACATTGCTTCACCATTTCATATGTTTCAAACCAGGCCCTATTGGGACACATATGGAACGAACACGCAGAATTCAGAATCCACTCCTCATCCGGCTTAGATTGCATGTCAGATAAGGTCAACACCACATTTTCGCCATCCGAAAATCTCTAGGCAATATTAGTCTCGTCCGAATGATCTAATTGTCTTCCATGATTTGCAGATTACCTTTACCATGCAACTTGTCGCAATCCTTTTTGATGTGTCATTTTCCCCTACAGTAGAAACAAACTTGATTGCTGAAGTTCACCTTCGACCTACCCCTCCGTCGATCATCGTACGAAACCAGAGCTTCGTCATCCTTAGCTCCAACGATATGTTTCATCTTCTCCTTTGAAAATAAAGCGTCATAGGCATCGGCAATGGTGAGTGTGTCACAATTATACAAGATCGTGTCCCTGAACGACGAATACGAATGAGCACAACAGGATCAATGCTAGATCCCTTCTGCCATGCGATGAGAATAAAGCCTCTACTTCAGATGCAACTTACTTACCTATATCTTCGTCATGCACAGTTGCTCTAGTTTTAATCACAATGCAACAGCTGATTTCTCCTTAACCACGTCTTGAAGAATGTTGTTAGAAAGATGAAGATAAATCATAGACAGGTCCCTCCGATCCTTCTGTTACTTCTCCTCTGTTGTCCAAGTTGTTGGCAGTTAATCAACACCCACCAGAGCATCGCCCAAATCAATCTGCGCCAAAATTGCTTTCATCTTTACTTGCCACATTAAAAACCCTTGTATTGCTATCCAAAAGCGGAATGTCATACTTCATGGCAGCCATCGAAACTAGAAATCTTAAATAAATTCAACAACCTGCATCTCTGATAACACTTGTTGGGACCCTTTGAACCCACGTATTGTGAAAAAAGGGAAGAGATTAATGGATCAATATGAAGTATTGATCGCTCACCAAATAAGAACAAGATTTAAAGTAAAGAAAAGAAAATATTGGCAGAGGAACCGATATTTTATTAAATAACCAATGGAGAGAAAAAATAATTTCAGCAATTTCTGCTCTAAAAAACTGAATGAAGAGTCTACTATTTATAGGAAAGATGTCCAAACTCAAGATGGAAACAAGATTAAAAAAATCACGTGAAATAAAGGAAATGATATTTTTCCAATAAAACACGTGAAATAAAGAAAATAATATTTTTCCAAATACGTGCAAAGATTGAAAAATATATTCTCAAAAATTCCAACTTAATTTGGATCACAAAA